ACCTGTGTGTTCTGCATTGTATTATGTATTTCCTGCCCATCAGTCTAACCCAAATCATGCAGCTTTTCTATGACCATCTGAAAAAGACAAATTATGAGCTCTTTTTATTAGGAAAGCAAAAGTGAAACTGTATGTATACTTCCAAAATGGAAGCACTCAATTTTGAGGTGAAAGTTCATTTTGGGGAAAGAGATGCCTGAAACACTCAGCCAGGTTGTACACACCTTCTCAAACTCAGGACACCACACTCATCAGGTGAATGCAACTGCAGTAGTATCAGTGCGTTTCCATCTGGATTTTGCAACTTGTAGCTATACCAGTTGTTTTCATCCACTCCTTTTCATGAGAAACAGACTTCAAGATGCATGCCATTTTGCAACCCTCTTGCTGTGTTTTCACTTTCCTAGTGCTGGCACTGAGGTGGAACCTACAGCCAAGTTGGAGGTTATTGCTTCTTGCATAGCTGTTTTGTTACGCTCTCAATTGTGGTGTTTGACATCTTGGCCAGAGTCAAAGCTGGCCATGTGAGAGCATCTGGAGGCAGCAGCCTTCATGCCAAAAACTTCAGTATTAAGGCAGTTCTATACCCCTGTGAAGAAATCTTTTAGGTTCTTTATGGCTCCTGTTGTTAAGATATGCAAGCATCTTTCCCTTTGGGAAGTAAAAGAAAGATCCAGGATCTTTGTGTTGCAAAGACAAGAGCCTGGTCTCTTAATGTTCCCTATGCCAAAGAAATCTTCAAAAAGCACGGTTTAACTTGTGAAGGTTGGTGTTTGTTGAAATGAGGTCATGCCTTTAAGTGTATGCGTATGTGTATATGTATCCACATAGGAAAACGTAACCTGTTCACTGGTGCTGACTGTGGCACCAGGCCCCAAATCCTTATGCATTTATTGTCACATGCTACTGTTATTTTGCACATGTGTTGAGCCCCCCTCTGGGCTTTATACTCTCATCTCCTTGGTAGTGGAAGGTGCGAACTTGACAAAATGGCTCTGATTTTCTTTCCCTATGAGCAATGAAATAGTCAAGAGAACCTTGGAGGCCTGAGTGTCTTCATGATATTTTGCCTATACACACCTATTTATTTGGCTGGCAGAAAAAGAAAATAGGTGGAAATTATTTTGTTCCATTACTTTGTCAGCAGCTCAGAAACAAAATGTGGGGTTTCTTGTCCAGCTTCAGATTCCTCAGCCTACTCTAGGGCATTTCTTATTGCAAAAGATTTTTCCATTTCCGTGAGCATCTCTACTTACAGTCGTTCCTCCTTTAGTTGTCATATAATGTTTCTGTATTTGTTACCATCAGGAAAGAGTGGATTTCAGTTGCAATCAAATGTGTCTGTGCAGAGGGAGCTTGTGACTGCCTTCTAGAGACTACTGCATTTCTTTGGGGCCCAGGCCCAGGAGGAATTCTTGTTTTAAATAGAAAATTCTTGCTTATGTATTGCATTCATTCCATCTCCTTTTTTTTTTTTTCTTTTTTTTTTTTTTTCTTTTTTTTTCCCTGCTATATATATTATTTTAGTGTTCTGGAATACAAGAGCCTTAACATTGCACATTGTCCTACAGAGTTTTATAGACACTAGAGTGGCTCATAGTGTTTGAATCATCTTTTGGTCACTGTGGATTACTGCAGCATTCTACCTTATGTCTGTCCTATCTAACTGTAATGCCTAACAGTCCAGAAGCTATCAAATTAGTAGTGATTTAAGTTAACTTCCAGGGAAGTAACATTAAATGTTCTAGTTTTTCTGAGACCAGCCTACACAGAGCTCTTTGCCTTGTTTCACTATCCCTGCACAAATGCTGTTCAGGCTGGAAAGGCTGGTTGTGCCCTTCTATTAGAAATTCATCATTTTATGTGTCTCAGCTTAAAAATCAGAACTAAGGAAAACTTAGTGTTATGCCACAGCATGGGCAAGATGCTTTTTTCACACTACTTCTGTAATACAGGTTTATTGATGTTGGCTGCACTGGAAGCAAGCAATTACCCAAGCTACAGCTCCTCCTAAGTATTTCACATGGAATTTATCTCAGTCCCTGTAAAACACCAGCCATGCAGAATGTTGTACCTGCTGCTGTTGGACAGTGTGCAGGAGCAAAGCATGGAGAAGCACTGGGTCTGGGACTGCAGGGAATTTTATCTCCAATCTGCTTGGAGAATACTGCTCAAGTGTGATTTTAGAAATCCTCTAAAGTCGATGGGAGTTGGACACCTAATTTTGCTGAGTCCTTTGAAAATCACATGGAGCAAACAGTACTTCCTCTAACATGTAGAAGGAATTAAAAGATCAGCGAACGCTGGCAAGCTAGTTAATGTGATCTGCAAAGAAAATGCCTTCAGACTTATCTGGGTCCCAGTGACTGCCAAGGGAAGCTAATGACAAGGATCCGAGCAAAGATCTTAATGGTGGCTTGGGAGCCCCAGTAATCAGCTTGGGAAGCTAATGTCAAGGAGCTGGATAAAGATGCAATTAAACTCACCGCAAAGTCTGGGGATAGATTGCACTTCTCAGCTGTGATAACTGAGGAGTTGGCTGTGATTCCAAAACAACAGCATGACAGTGAAGTAGGAAACAAAGGGCAGATATCTCACTGTTTACATTTCCAGATGTACATATTTATTGTCTGTGTAGAGCCTAAATTACCCTGGCAAAATTCCAAGCAAGGATGCTTTTGCTTTTTCTCTGGTGGGTTAATAAAGTGCAATTAGTCTTTGCTATGTTACCCTGTATGGAGGACTGCTGGCTGTTGAGGAGGCTGAGCAGGGCAATGGTTTGGGACTGCTGGGGGAAGGGAGGCAGCCGCACTGGCTGGGCTGGGGAGCAGTCTGCCTTCATCTCTGATAAAACAGGTTTCAAGGAGGGGTGCCTGGGCCTTGTCTTGTCTGTTGCTGCTGTAGCAGGATTAACACTGTGTGGAAAAAGTCTTCCCATGTAATCAGAAATTGGAGAAGAGCAGAATTCTTTGGACTTCTTTCCAGTTGCCTTCCAGATTAGGGTAATATGTAATAATAATAATAATAATAATAAAGGCAGAATCAGTCGTCTTACCTGCTCTACCTGTATTTGCATGGCACAGGGAGGAGCAGAAGTGCCTTGAGAACTTGCCTTGTTGAGCAAATCTGTTATTTCTCACAAGCACAGAACTGCAAAAAAGCTGGAAAGTGGGCTGCTGGGGTAATTGATGTCAAGGTGCTGTCAGCAGCAAGAAACCTCTCCTTGGTATGGGTTTGGGGGAGATTGAAATTGCTCTGAAGTAAGACCTGACCACCACTCAAAAATGGAAGACTGCATCGTGATGGGACGAGGGGAAATGATTTCAGATGAAAAGAGGGAGATTTAAATTGGGTATACAGAAGTTGTTCACAGTAAGGGTGGTGAGGCACTGGTAGAGGCTGCTCAGAGGCGTGATGGATACCCTGTTCTTGGAGGCATTCCAGGTCAGGCTGGATGGGGTTCTAAGCAGCCTGACCCAGTGTAGGTATCCCTGTTCATTGCAGGGAGCTGGACTAGGGGACTTTTAACTCTAATAATTCTTTGATTGTCTCAAGGTGGAAGTATTGCACCTACCACAACTTTTATAAATATCCTGGAAAATTAGTTCAAAGATAAGAGAGCAAGTCAGACCCCAGTGTAAAGAAGAGCACATTCATGGCAAGCATTCCTACAGGGCTGGGTGGGCTGGGCAGCCTGGCCCCATGCCTTGCCCTGTGTGTGTCCACCACTGCCCCTTCTTTCTATGGAAGAGGCCACCTCTAGGTGTGAAAATATCATTGTGTTTTCTGTCCTACTCATAGCTGGTGTCATTGCTAGCCACAAAATATTTGTTTGCCTCTTCTTCTTCTCATCACAGCTTGGGTTTTGGTTTGCTCTAAAAAGTGTCATCCATCTAGAGTGTTGGGGAGTAGCAAGCAGGGCTGAGCGTGAGACTGCTGAGCTTTATTTCCGTGGTCTGACCCATGTGCAAACCTCAGATTGCTGTGCTGTTACACTGGTCCTTCTCCTGGCTCCTGTCAGCAGGTTTGCTCTCTGTTGTGGTTTTCTCTGTGAGTATAATGGTTGTGCTTTGTCGGTCCCCTGCCTTGGTATTCAGTAAGTGCTGCATTTTGGTAAAGATTGTGATAAATTACAGTGTTGGGTACAATAACAAATGTTAGCATAGCATATATAGGCCATTGAGGAATACGTCAGACTTGGTTCTGCCTTTTAAATGTGCTTTTGTAACATTCATTTGAAAGGAGCCTTTGCCTTTTGGTCCGTGTCTGTTCTGACAAGTGCCATAGTATATGAGGATGTTAAAAAGTGTGCAAGCATGGGATTCCTCTCCATCAACAGACCCAAGAGCTGCCAGTCTTTGCCGAGTTAGAGCTTTCTGGCATGCCCTCATGTAAACATGTTTATGTTTTTGAGGCATCTGTTGAGTGTTTCTGTGAAGTTACATTCTGCTCTTGCTCCTGTGGGAATGGTAAAGCATTGGCCATAGGTTTCTATGGATTGTCAGAAAGTGAGCAGTTAATTCTTGACATCTGTTATGCTGAAGTGACTGCCAAGTCGAGTGGGAAGTTGGCAAGGAAATAAATATTGATGGGCCCTAGCAACAGGTACTCCTGAGAACTCTTGTTCTGGGAATGCTCAGGCAGAGTCCACGTTATTAATGTTGTGATAGGATTTAAGGCCTATTTATAGGGTTTGTCTGTGTTTTATCAGCTCAGAGCACACAAATGGTCTTTGCTGTATGAGGGCCCTGGTGCATCTCGAGTACATGCTTACAACTGAACTCTCATGTTTGATGTCTATCCTATGTCAGAACCACCGCTACAGAGATATGCGTGTGTAAATGCGCTGGATGCAGTGAGTTTTTTCTCTTAGTAGTATACTGATGATACGTTCGTATACAAGGCCCTTTGGGAATCCTCTGGATGAAACTAGCTTGTGTATTCTGTAAAAGCATTACTCGTGAGCCCTGTAAGTGAGCAATGTTATGTTCTCGTTGCAGAACTTGAAGCCAGAGAAGCCTGTGCCTGGCTGCGGGCCGCCGGCTTTCCCCAGTATGCCCAGCTGTTTGAAGGTATGATCCCAAAGAGCAGCTGATACGGAGCTTAAACAGAACTGCTAATATGAATATTCTTTCAGAATCTGGCACTTCTGATGGAGCACCTCCAAATTCTGCAGTATCTTCATGCAAAACTATAGAAAGCGTGCAGCACGGTGCATGTTCTTGCAGGAGTGACACCTTATTGAGGCTGGAGTGGCCTCAGGAGAATTCTGCACTGGACCAGAGCTTTTCTGGTTGAGGTTAGAGTGTGACTTCTGCTTCTGTGATGTTCTGTTGCTTATAATTTTCTTGGTCTCTTCTTTGGAGCGTTATTCTTTGGACACGCAGAAAAATTGTCGAAATAGACTTTGATGTATTTAGCCTGTGCTAAACCTGTGGCAAAACTCCCTGCCATTCAAATTTCAGCTCCAACTTTTTATTTGCAGATATGCAGTTTCCTATTGACATAAGGACTGTGAGGAAAGACCATGAATTTTTAGATGGAGATGCAATCGAATCACTGTTCAGGTAAATGTTACTCTTGGATCATCTTCAACACCTGCAGGTTCCACAAGGTGTTTGTCACTCAGCTGTTCCTGGCTTGATTTGTGTCAGAGTATGAAGTGTTACTTATGCTGTGACTGTACTGCGTCATAACTGACTCTGCAGGCTCTAATTAAAATGTTGGATAATAACTCTTTCCAAGGATTTAGTTTCACAGCCTCATTTTTTTTTTTTATGTTCTTTTAAGAAGTCAGCACAGTGTTCTTTCATTTTCAAAATCTTGAATCAGTTTTTCACAGTCAATCCTTAAAGCTCATCATAAGATTTTTTTTAAAACAAGTGCATCTGGTTAAGTACAGTCCTCTTTAGTTTTGAGATGGCAGAACTGGACCTGTGAATGTCACAGGTTAGTGTTGTCAAAGTTAGTGGGCACTGGTTGGGCCAAAACGTATGGAGAACATGTGGCTGTGCACCAGTTGTTGGCACCAATAATGCTGACTCAGTTTAGAAGTTTGCTACTAGTTTGGAGCATGTTGTTTTTTGAGGGGAAAAAAAAAAGATTAAATTCAACTCTTTTTCTTCTACCCTAGACGGCTGAACACGTTGAATAAGTGTGCATTGATGGAAGTGGAAATAAACTGTCAGAGGACCCAGGTATGTTTGTGAAATATGGTTAATGTTCTCAGTAAGAAGGTGATTAACTGTTATATTAAAATACTTTTTTCAAAGGTGTATGAAGGATTGCTTGTTGCCAGGCACTCACTTGGTGTGCGGGCAACACAGCGAACACGGTACCTGGTGCAAATGGTTGGTGTGGCTGAGGTCTCCAAGAGGAGACTTTCTACCTGGAAGTTTTGGTCACTGAAGCATGAAGTGTTTGATTTGTTTGTCTTTGGGTAAAAATACTTGGCCAAATCCTCCGGATTTGCTGCAAAACTGAATTTTTTATCCTGAGATCAAATCTGCCATCTTTTGCTATGGTAAACTTAGCGGGCTTGTCAGCATGCTGGGCTGTGGTTTGTCACCATGTTTTTCAACTAACAGAGCAGACCTCAGGGTAGGACCTTTGCTAACTGAATGTTTACATTTCCGTATGTAGGTTTCAGAGGTAGGCAGTTTTGTTTACATTTTTTTAATAATGTAATGTTTTCAAAACTGCCCTTGAAATGTACTTTTCTTCCAAGAGCGACGACTCCGATGATGATGAACCTTGTGCAATAAGTAATAAATGGGCGTATGAGCGGTGCAGCCAGAAGTGGTTTCGCCTTGAGAGCCTAGAAGGTTCTACAGAAGGTGCTGGTGCATCCCTCCCAGGCAGCCCAATGCTGAAGAGCACTGGTAATGAAAACAGAGTCCTTTTGGACCATGGTGACAAACACGATACGTCATCAATTCATAGCACTAGCAGCGGTGACAGTGATGCCGTTAGCTCCCCAAAGTCTTTTGAAGACATGGAAGCCAGCCCGAATTCTTGCAGTAAAGTTGCTTCACTGGAATCTGCCTTTAATTGCTCACTTCCCCCCAGTTTAAATGCCACCAATGAGAAGAAGCTTTGGGATAAGTCACCGTACAAAAAGAGGAAGAGCCTTCTAAAGAAAATGGAGAAGTTGCACTTAAGGAGCAGCAACTTAAGGAGTGGTCAGTCAAAGGCCAAACCCATCATAAGTGAACCTTTCCTTCTGGAAGGACTTAATGAGGAGAAGATGAAGATGCTTAACTGTGTAAATATCGCTGACCTCCCTGGCATCCAAACAAAGAACAATTCTTCCTGTTCTCCTAGCTGCATAAGAAACAATAAGTTTGAAAACAGAACGGTGAGCACTGCCCGTCCTCTTAAAAAACCAGAAAGCTGCTGTGAAAGAAAGGGGAGGTGTGCTGAGGACTTGGGCAAATGCCTGCTGTGGAGTGATGCATCTCAGGGAAACCTAAACAATGAAGTAGAGTTGCAAACAAACCAGATGTTTCAAGTACCACACGGCCACAAACCTGGCACTTTCCCCAAAGCCCTCATGAAAAGTCCTGTGTCTCCAGGAGATGACTCTCCTGTCAGCTGGAGAACTGGCTGTGGAGGGAGCCGGAGCAGAAGCAAGACCAAGGACTCCAAAGCCCCCAGCAGCCCCATCTCACGCGCAGATAACAGGCTGAGTGTGTATGACAACATGCCTAATGTTGAATTTGATAAGCTGGAAGCAGCAGAAGTTGGAGATGATGATGTTTTTTCAGAACTGAACAGTGTTATAGAAGATGTCAAGGGTCTCAGAAAGCTGGTTGATCAGTGGACAGAGAAGTTCTCAGATGATGGGTATTTGGACTTACCCAGTGACTTAACGTCTCTGTATCCGTCCTTACCTAAAGAAATCTCTCTTGACACAGAGCACTCAGAAGTTAAGAGAGCAGCTGTGCTGTCCTCTGAGGGAGAGGACAGCTGTGAGCTGGGCAAGGAGCTCAGCTCTACAGACCTGGTGTTCATAACAGACCCTACAAAGACCAACAGGTCAGTCATCCTTGGGTTTCTCTATTAAAACACCCTTCTAGAAGCTTTCCCTGTTGATTCTCTCCACTGAAAACGTAATTGTTATTCCAGAACAAAATATAATTAAGGGAGGCTATTCTGGGAATTAGAGTCTGCACTGGTGGTGCCAAGCACTTCTGGGCTGTAGGCAGCATGAAGTCTACTTACGTCTGCTCTGATCTTGTTGGAAGCAGGGCTCTCATGATCTCAGGTTGGGTAGTTGGAAGCAGTTATTCTCAGGAAGAGTGGTAATGCAGTGACACAGCTGCCCAGGGAGGTTGCGGGCTCATCGTCCTGGAGTTGTTCAAGAGCTGTGGAGATGTGGCACTGAGTGACACGTGAGCACGGTAGGGATGGGCTGGTTCTTAGACAAGATGCTTTTAGAGGTCTTTTCCAACCTTAATGATTTTATGACTCAATCAGTACTTAGATATTTGGAGTCAGACTTACGGCTGGCTTGCTGTGCTTCTTACTGAAATCTTTGGTACAGCCGTAGAGAGTAGCACTTTGTTTGTAAGTGATTAACCACAGGTTGTTTGGGAGGCATGGGTTGTGTTGAGTATTGGGGGTTTCACAGAAGCAAGCAGAAAGCTAAGAGGGACAATGGGAAATTGTCCTTTGGCATGACCAACACTTATCCTGTAGGCACAGGAAGCAGTGTGGGTCTGTGGAAGACAGCAGGATCGTGGAAGGCTTTTCCACACAGGCTGACAGTCCATCGGCCACCCAGCTGGCCCGGGCACAGAAGCTGGCACTGCTGAAACTCACTGCTGTCATGGACAGATACTCCCCTTCCAGTAAGCAGGGCTGGAACTGGTAAGTAGTCTGTTGTTAAAGCAAATACTGTTGGAAAGACAGGATTTAAAACAAGCAGGTGAATTTCCTTGTCTGACTAGGTGACATTGTCCACAGTGAAGAATTTCATCCTGCTAAATCAGGGCTGTTTTGCACTTATTGCGGTGGCTCCAGCATTTCATCTGCTGTAGACAAAACTTCTGTTTCTCACTGGTCACTCGTTTCAGAGCACTTTGTATTTTCTCTCTGAATCTTCCCATGTTTGGGGCTGTGACAGAGGTGCTTGGCAGAGACTACAGGACCGGAGGCGAGTGCGGACTGGGCAGAGCTGTGCTGGACAGCTGTTAAGTTACGTGTGCTGGTTTTTGTTTTCAGGACTATACCAAAATCAAAAAAAATAAACACCTCTGACTACAAGGACAAAAATGTCTTTGGGGTCCCCTTGCTGCTGAACGTTCAGCGAACAAACCACCCGCTGCCTATCGGCATCCTGCAGGCACTGGATTATTTAAGAAGCCACTTCCTTGACCAGGTATGGCCTGAGGACATACCACTAAGCAGTCATGGTATGCCTGGGGGGATTAGCCATGCTGCTTCCACTGGTACCAGAATATGTTGGTGTTAAGTCCTGCTACCGTAGGGTTTTAACTATCGAAAGGAAAGGGAGGGAGCAATGATTTTGTGTTGAGGTTTGAGTCCTGATGACTTTGTCTTTAACTTTTTCCTTTTCCCTTGTAGGTTGGCCTGTTCCGCAAATCTGGTGTTAGATCCAGGATCCTGTCCTTAAGAGAAATGAATGAAACCAGGTCGAACAGTGTGTGCTACGAAGGGCAGTCAGCCTTTGATGTGGCAGATATGGTGAAGCAGTATTTCCGAGACCTTCCTGAGCCCATATTTACCAGCAGGCTCTGTGAATCCTTCCTCCACATCTACCAATGTAGGTAACAAAAGCTTTGGCTTTCCAATTCCTTGAGAATCTTGTGCTTCTTTAGCATTTGGCTGTATAAAGCTGGACAGACTGGGACTGGTGCTATGATGTGACCTTAGTGTCACACAGTCAGATGAGTCAGGGCCTGACTGAAAAGACAACTTCAGTGCTGTTATTTGGGCTGCAACTAGAGCCAGCTCTGTAAGCCCACTGGCACGACACTGAAGAAAAACTACAAACAGTGCACCAGCATTGTGGAATGTGTATTGCCATGGGCAAAAGCTGTACATGTGCTGTGATGGCAGTAGCAGCCTTTGTGCTGTGAGCTGGAATGAAAGGGCAGTGCATGAACCTATGTTCTCAGTGCCCTGCTTGGCATGCCTTTGGATGCTGCCCTGCAATCATGTGTGATTTCCATTGTTTTCTGTTTCCAGATGTGCCGAAGGACCAGCAACTGCAGGCTGTCCAGGCTGCCATTCTCCTCCTGCCTAAGGAGAACCGGGAAGCCTTGAAAATTCTCCTCTTCTTCCTACGAGATGTGGTCGCGTGTGTTGAGGAAAACCAAATGACCCCAACCAACATTGCTGTCTGTCTCGCCCCATCGCTGTTTCACCTCAACACCCTCAGACGGGACAGTTCCTCCTCCTCCACTCGGTATTTCATCCTGTTGAGCATTGCTGCTTGCAGCAGCATTTTTCTTTGCTAGACCAATGCTTTGTGTAGCTGTCACAGACCAAGTGCTTCTAGGGGGGCTAGTTGGGGTTTGGTGCAGATGTGGGAGCTGCCCTCAGTTCAGGCTCAGCACAGGCAATGTGCCCCTCCTGTCCCACTGCTGGTGAGTGTGTGAGCAAGGCAGCACGTCCCTGGCACTCTGGGGCACCTCCTGTTCTGCTGCCTGACTGCGCCCACTGCCTGTGTTACCGTGGGGTGTGCAGGACCTGCAGATCCCTGGCAGCCTGCAGCAGCTGTTGTCACTCGTTCCTCTGGGCGATAAGGGATTGTTTCTGCCAAACAGAGCCACAGGGATCCTGCACGTTTATCTCCTTAAGTAGAAGTTATGCTATCTGGGTTGCATAACATCTCCTGCTCCTACGTGCGGAGAGGAAGGTGCCCTTGGGCCAAAGCAGGCAAATGGAATCTCAGAGAGCATTCAGCCTTATCTATGCTCCTGAGGCACAGCTGTTTGCTGTGCTCTGTGCCCCTGGGTGTGGACAGACATGTCTCAGGGCATGGAGGCTTTAAGGGTAGCACAGTGCCCAGCAGCACAGCCACTTGTCACCCCATAGGTGACTTAAAGATTGGGGCTGCTCTCAGTGAGGCAGGAGCACAGGGCAGCTACTCCTCCCAGCTGCAGGTGCCTGTGAGCACTTCCTGGCTTCAATTCAACAATCCTCTGAAATACCAGAATCAGAAGGAGAGTCTGAGCTTTCCCTTTGCTGTCACTGTGCAGAAGGGGGTTCCTTTGAACCCTCAGCAGTGCTGTAACCAGGCATTAATGCTGCAGAGCAGGGTTCAGACTTCAAAGCACGGGGCAGGTGAGGCTGCCTTTGAGGTGTGTGGCTGAGGACTTGATCTCCCAATGGATTTTGGAGCCGTTTGGCAGGAATGCACATAGATAAGAAGTGGCAGAAACCAGGATTAATTCTGTCATATAGTGAGTATGAAATAAAGAGGGGTCTGTTTTTGAAATGTGGACCATGTAGTCCTTGCGGATGTTGCAGGGTCTCAGACGAGCACAGCAGCTGAAGGCTGCAGAAAGAGCAGTTGGGTTATGGCTCTCTGTGGCCATGTGTGATGTGATCTGGGAAGCAAAGTGCTGTGCCCTGTCTCTCCTGAGCAGCTGGCCCCACCTTGGTTGCAGTCAGGGTGGCCCAGCAGGGGTGATGCAGTGATGCTATGTAAGCCTTGCATGGCACTTCTGATCCCACACAGTTTCTTGGTCACTATCTTTTCCTTTCTGATTCACAGATCAAGCCAGAGGAAATGCAGCCTGGGGAAGCCGGACCAGAAGGAGCTGAGCGACAACCTGGCAGCCACGCAGGGCTTGGCCCACATGATAACAGAATGCAACAGGCTCTTCCAGGTAAGGTGCTGGATGTTGCACTGCAAAAGCATTGGCAGGGGTTTGCTGCCTTGGGCTTGGGTCCAGCTTGGTGTTTGTGCAGTTGAGGGCTGCCCCATTCCCACTGGTGCCAGGCCTGACCCTCCCATCTTGAGGGAGCTGGCAAGGGATGACACTCTGTGCTGGAACCGTGGTTGTAGTGACAGCCATGCCTGCGTCTGGCCACAGCCCCTCATCTCCCCCCCCATTAATTTGCATTTGGATCTTCCCACAGACTGATTTCCCAGCTTGACCTCGGCCCTTCCTTGTTATTATGGACTTTGCTAGCACTTACTGGACTGGGACTCACGCTGTCTACTATCACCGATTCTGAGCCTGCCCTGTTGGCTGCTGCCCCACCTCCTGGCTCACTTAGCACTCCTCACCACGGATGTGCCTGATGATCTGCACTTGGGGCTGACCCTGTTTTCCACTGTTGTCTGCCACTCTCTCAGGTACTGGGGGGCAGGGTGGCTTCTCCTGCAGCCTTATCACAACTGATTCGCAGCCCCCTTATCCCAGGGAGCTCTTGGTGCATCCCATTATTCAGCTCTGCTCTTCTTTCTTGCACATGGCTCTTAGCAGTATGGAGCTGCCTCCCTCACCCTTCCCCAGTGAGCCCTGAAGCCCACTGCAGGGGTGGGGTGTTCTAAACTCCCTCATGGCTCTCAGCCTGAGCATTACTGCCTGCCCCAGAGCTACTCTTGGGCCAGCAGCCATCCTGCACCATCCTGCTATGAGTGGAGCACAGTAAGGGGCTGTGACAACATCCTCTGCCCTTCTGGGGGAGGGACCTGGTGCTGGCACTTGAGGACAGCTGAGACAGGGTTGCTCCCCTTCCTGATGGTGACCATGAGG